CTGGATGCAGGGGAGGAGGCTGGGCTCGGGAGATGGGCTGATGCTGATGAGGAGAGGTGATTCACCGCCCAGCGCAGGCTTCTCTGCTCCACGTCACTAAACACCTGTTCAAGGAAAGCAAGAAACTGGCTGAATATTTTATATTTGCTTTTTGGTGTTCTAGAGCATCCCCGTTGTGGATTTCTGAAACTTATTCGAAAAGCAAGTGCATGTGCAGTACCTGGCTGCCCTGGCTGCACAGACCTCTCGCGATCCAGTGCTGCTGTTTGCCCAGTCCCTTAATGAAATAATTGTAGCATAAACCTTTATAACACATAATATTTGGAGAAAAATAAAATATGAAACATTTCTGTTAGGAAAAAAAGGAGTGATAGTACAAATCCTTTCAGTGAGGATGTTCAGTAAATATAGATGGAGGATTACAGAGAGCTTTTTTTACAGAGAGGTGTTGAGGAATGTTTTATAGAAAGTAAATGGGCAGTTGAAGTCCCTGATGATGGTAAAAGATGATTGTCAGGTTAAGGATAATGTTGGTCCTTGCTTGCATCCTCTGTTGGTCCTCTTTGCATCTTGGTTTGTTGCAGAAAATAAGAATATGATGTGTGTTGTCATTTACTATTATAGACAAACTTGCAGTTGTAGCCTTGCCAATTTCAAGGCCAAAAATGAGCAAATAAAGCGGCAGATAGACCTTAGAAACATACGATGTTTTTTTTCTGTAAGTCCTGCTTTTTAAATCTTTGGAATTTGTCAACTCAGACTAACTGCAATGACTGAAGACATGGATTTTCTTTTTCCCTAAGATATGTTTAAGATTTTCATGTCTTCAGTCTTCTCACCCAATCACAAGACAAGTAGCAAAGTTCTGCAGTCTCTGACATTTAATTAAAATGAAACCTGTCATTTTCAGATTTCATTTTTACTTCTTCTCTTACATGCTCTTTGTGCATGGATACAAAGTTTGACTTTTAATACAATTCTACAGAAGCCTTAAATATTTCCTCATAAAAGTTATTTTGGAAACTATTTCATGCATATTTAACATAGCTCTCAGTTCTTTGTATTTATCAGTTCCCCTTTCATTGTTGTCTTAAATTATAGAATTGTATAAACTTGAAACAGACGATTTTCCCCCAGACCCTGCTGTGGTGAGGGGGTTTCAGGAGGTGTTCATTATTTAGGTGTTTGCATCTCATGCACAGTTAGCTCGTGTGTTACCTTTAATGCCCTCTGGAACATGCACTGCCAGTGGTGGTGCTGCCCACTGACTGCTATTGAATAATCCAACAGCAGCAGCTATAAACTTTCAGCATAATAAATTAACAGAGTTCAGCATATGACACCTTCTCCTCATGCAAGGGTAATGCTTCAGCTCTTTTGTAAAAATAGAGAAACCACTACCTAACAAACTACTAAGGCAAGGCTTTGCATACAGTTATGTGCCAGGTGATGTTATGATATCTATCTAGTAAAATAGATGCAGCCTATTACACTGTTGTAAATGAAGTTAGTACTCAAATTAAATACCAAACAGTAGCCTGAGCCAAGTAAATATGCAAAATATATTGAAGTTAATGATAAATAGAGTTAGATAGTTAACGTGAGAAATGAATGGGTGCTGTTTTATAAGAACCCTCTGGGTAAGGCATTGCTTAAACTAAAAAAGAGTTGGAGTTAATGATTAAGGGAAATTTCATACTATACTCAAATAAGCATGTGGTTACTGTGCTCCAGGACATTTGTTTTTGCAAGAGAGAAGGAAGTTGAATGGAAGGAGGAAAACAATCTCCTGAGAAATAGAATTTATGGTTTCTTTCTGTTTGTTCATGGATTGGATTGTTATTTAGATGTTGCAACATCTTCAGCCTTTTTTGTGGAAGGCTTATCTCAAAAGTTGTCCACACTGTTTAATTTTACTGCCTTCTGGGGCAGCTGCAGAGTGACTGCTTTGGTGTTCATCGTTGTTCCAGTCTCCTGCTCTCCTCCTGTAACTGGGATTACTGCCCTTCACGTTTCCATTTGGAATGGACTAGCTCTATGGAAGGGAGGGTGTAAGAAAGTTTTTCTCCTCTGCTGGCAGAGCTATGTTTACAGTGGATAGGGATTATTATTGGTTTTTTGGTTGAGTGTGGTGGAGGGAAGTTAGGATTGCCTATAATCTGCTGACACTCCTAGAAGCTCTGTTTCTTCTGAATGTTGAACTCTGTAGGTAGGCACATGCAAGCAAACTGAGTGCAGTGCTGGTTGTTCCTTCTGTGGCCGCTCTCTCGGGGTGAGCTGTGTGGCACTGAAGGTCAGGCACACACTCAGGTGGTGGGACGGGTTTCTCCTACACCTGTGGAGCCTGACAGCACCAAGGCCCTTTGTCAGACTGCTCTGTGCATGGGAGGACCTTGCCTTAGTGCTGGAGCTGTGAGTTGGTTTTGCTGGTTTTATATGGACATGACCTAAAAGATGCTGTTTGGAAAAAGGTTTGGCCAGTGGCCAGCTTTGCCTAGGAGCTGTGGTTTCAGTTTCCTTCTCTGCAGAAAGCACCTAGTGAGATCTGCACTGGTATCAACAGAAATGGTGGGCAGAAGGTAAATAAACTACAGCACTGCTGTGCCTGCCCACATCTTATCAGGGCTATCAGTTCCTGCCTAGCACTGCCTATGAAGTGCACTCCTAATCAAGATACAGCTTCCATTGTGTGCCAGGTGTTCATAACATTATTTACCTGACCAAGTGTGTGAGACAGAGGTTAGGAATGAGTGGTGGGGGTGGAAATTCTTGGTGCTGTTGTTGTTGCCCTAGATAGGGAGCCTGTGTCCTGTGCAGGTCCCTGTGCTGCTGCTGAGCTGTGCTGCCACAGCCCAGAGCAGCTTCTGGGTCAGGACTGACCTGGGGCTGCCATCAACTTTTTTTTAACTTGAGGATGGTGAGAGGCTGTCACAGCCCTGTGGATGCCCCAGCCCTGGCAATGCCCTTGAGCCTGCAGAGCTTTGTTACAAGGAGTGTGTGGGTGTGAGGCCTGATGGTACAATTGTCTGGGGAGTTATTTATGATGATCCCAAATATAGCAGAAAACTCAAAGGCACATTGAACAAATTCTTAGTAAGGAAATAAATAGCACAGGCAGTGTTGGGAAATGGAGGAGCAGAACAAGCAAGGAAAGATGACTGTGGGCATGGGACTGGGAGGAGTGGGAAGTGTTTTCCTTCAGCCAATATGTTGCCAGATTGTCAGTTTGTATAATGGATGAATTTTAAAGTTTGAGTGCATGAGTTGCTTTGGATGGATGTGAGGTCAGAGCAGATGCTGCTGCTTCAGAAAGTCACTGTGCAGTTTATTTGCTTTACATTTGGAGTAACAGCTGTGTAATGTGAAGGATGTGAGGAATTGTTTTTCCTTTTTTTTTTTTTTTATTCAGATAGAGCTAAGCACTTGGACTTGCCCCTGAAATCAAAGGGTACTTTTCACTTCAGTAAAGTGGTTTTAAGGAATCCTAGATACTGAGAAATTATTTTTAAAAAAATATATTTTTGCATGGCTTTTATAGTACAGTTAATACTAAATCAAGGGCTGTTGTACATCTGGGAGTTCACCAGGTTTCAAGGTGAGATATCTTTATCTCCAAGGTAGAGATAAAGTGATCTACCAATTATCACAGAATTAAGAGTCTCGGATTTAAAGTGATCCAAGGTG